AAACTTCGGCTGACCAGACCGCCCGCCAATTCCACTTCCCGACGGCGCACCGGAGAGACGCGCGCGCGCGCACAAGCAGGCGTGCGCCAGGCTGTCTGCAGCAGCACCGCTTACTACCACCCCAAACTGGAAAGAACACACATTCTTGGTTTCTCTGTATCTTCGTTCCCTCGCCGATGATTCAGGAACGGGACCCATTCTGTTCCTCAAGCCAGTCCCCATCTCCAGTGTGTTCAGGTTGGGACTGGGAGTTGAAAGTGAAAGGTGAGGAGTGTGGCGAAGTAGAACGACCCGTTTCCCATAGGGACCGAGAAGAAATGGGTGGGTGACGAGGGACTCCCCACCGGCTCACCAGAAGGAGAAGTGTTGAGACTGAGGGACTTCCCGAAAGGGAACACAGAAGAAAGGGCTCCTGGTTCGCCCCTGGTCTTCAAGGACTTCTGCCCGCCTTCCCTCCAACTGGCCTCCTCCCTGACCCCGCCTGCAGCAGTGGCCCCATCCCACTCCAACCACCACTTTCTGTGGCTCCTCTTTGCCCTTCAGTGAAGACCCCCAATTCCCTAGCCCAACATTCAGGAGACTTCAGGACCTGCCCCCCAGCATTCCTGCCACCCTGCAGTGCTGGCCCTGGACTCCAGGTGTGCCAGCCTCCCACTCACCCTGCACGCGCCGGGCAGCCACGGGCACTCTCCACCCACCTTGGCTGACTGTCAGCCCCCTGCTCAGCCTTTAAAACCCAGTTCAAATGTCATCTCCTTCGTAAGCCTTTGACCTCCCCTAGGGGTATGAGTCACTCCTTCCTCTGGGGTCTGTCCCTCCACCAGAGCACACGGCTCCTGGTGTTGCTGGTGACATTCTGAGCCACACCCCAGCAGGGGCCATGTGTTTCTCGGTTACTTGCTGAATCCCCAGTGGCTGACCAGTGCATGACACGTAAGGTGCTGCAAGCCCTTACATGAGTGACTAAATGAAAGAGTACGCTTTCTATCCTAACCGATCTTGAAACTTAACCTCAATGGTAAATCCTCTGTAGACTATACTTCAGAGTTAAATCTCGCTGCTTTTGACTCCTCTTTCCTACATTCTGTGCAATGAGGACCTTTATGCAGTTGATGAGGATCAAAGCACCAAGGCTCCAACTTTTCCCCCACCTCAGGGTCTTTGCACCTGCCACCCCCACCCCTCGAGCACTTTCCTGTGTCCTCCTCAGAGGAGCAGTCTGCTCCGCCTGAGATGGGTCTGGTCTGTGCCGCAGTTCTCTGGGCCACACACACTTTGTCTGTCTCCTTCCTCACCATTGTAAGGCCAGGATCAGTCTAGCGCATGTTCTTGTTTTTGTAGTTGTGACCCACCTCTGCTGCGGAGCAAGCGCTCCCAGAGGCTGGGGGCTTTACCTGCGCTGCTCACCACCACCCCGGTGCAGGGAATGGGGCCCGGAGCACAGCAGGCACTCAACGGGGAGCTGAAGCAGAATGGGGATGAGTGCGGGAGGCTCAGAACTGTGGCCTTCATTCAGTCATACAAGGAGCGACCCGAGGCAACCCCCGAAAGGTCTCGGTTTCCCCATCAGCTTCACCACAGTCCCCAGGAACTTCCCCCCACCCCGGGCAGAACCCTCCATTCCCAGGGTCTGAGTGACTGTGACTGCTGTCATCAGAGTAGTGACAAGGAACTTTTGGATGGACGACGGGTTGACCAGGGTCCAGCAGCTTGTTCGTGCCTAAGGGGAGCTCTCAGTCTGGAGAAGAACCAGCCAGGGGGCCCACGATCAGAAAGAAGGCTTCACCGCTGACTCACAGTTGGATGGGGAGCGCATCCCCTCCTTTCTTTGAGCCTCAGTTTCCCTCATCTCTACAACAGGGGCAGTGCCCTGTGCCCTGGCCTGGCTGACGGGGTGGGAGACAGGTGCTGAGCACACCATAGGTGTGCGGGTAATTCTAGTTTCCTTTTACTGTTGTTTTTTGCCAGTGATGAGGGGTGCATGCTGGGTCTGAAGGCAGGTACGCTGGGACACTGGTGTTAAAGCCTGCCCCTCCCAGTGCGCACAGCCTCTGAGCCCATGGAAGCACTCGGTCTCCCTCGCACCTCCTAGCCCGGCCGAGAGTCCTTGTCCGTGAGGCCCGTTCTCACCCCAACAGCATTTCCCTGCTGGCACTCCTCCCAGCCTGTGTGGCCTCTCCTCGCTGAGAAGCGCTGCCCCACTCCCAGCAACCTCCCCTGCCTGTGCAGTCTGACCACCCCGTGGTGCATGGTGCAGTCTGACCACCCCATGGTGCATTGGTGCAGTCTGACCACCCCGTGGTGCATGGTGCAGTCCTCACCCAGGCTTGGCAACCCCTCTCAGCTCCTGCAGCCTCATCTCACTCCAGCTCTATTTTCCCCAGTCCAGGAGGGGCTGGTTATAAGGCAGAAAAATTTTAAATGCTTTAAACTAAAATCTCTTGAGGCCACAAGGGGAGGGTTGGAGCAGGTCTGGCAACCTGCCCTTATCCTTACCTTGCCCAGCAGGCCCCCACCAGCCTGCCCTGGCCCTGGCCCTCGACAAATAGCCTGAATGGGACTGATTTGCCCTGGAGAAAGTTTGCACATCCAATCCCAGGCTACATCATCAGGCCTTCTGGCGGATGAGGAAATGGAGGCCCAGAGATGTCCAGAGTCTTGCCCCTGGTTGCACAGCCAGGAGGAGCCAGGGCCCCAGGAGGGAGCCTCTCTGGTGCACTTGCCTCACCTCCTTGGAGACAATTTGCATAATGAGACCCTCCCTGGGGACGGTGGGGACCAGCAGGCTGGGTTCCTGCTGCAGGTGTCCTCTGCCCACACCCCGGGGAAGTGAACATTCTCAGGTTGCTTCAGAATTTCCAAGTTTACTCAGAGCTCTCGTTTGAGCTGTCATAAAAAGTCCCTTTGGCTGGGTGCCAGGATAGGAGTAGGGGGATGGCACCTGTGAGTCTTGGGGTGGAGGTGGGGCTCCTCCCCCTCCCTCCCCCACCCCTCCAGTTTGAAGGGCAGGTAAGGGAGGGGCACAAGAGGACGGGGCTGCTGGCAAGCGCTTGTTCTCCTGTCTTTGCAGCTTTCTTCCCTCTGCTTGTGAATGACTGCCTGAGGGGCCCTGGAGAACCCCACCCTTCCCGAGCCTCTGTTTCCCCACCTGTGAAGTGGGGAGTAGAATCATCATAAAAGCTTTCATGTATTGCGGGTTTAGCACCTGCCAGGTATCCTAGCTAGTAACAGGATGATTATTGCCAACAACACTGAAAGCAAAACACCACAGCTACTGTTTCTTGTGAGCCACTGCAGTGCCCTTTCCGCCTCACCGCGGCCGGCTCCGTCTGCCTGGGTGCCACGGCACCCCCAGGACCCGGGACCGTGCCTGGCACACGGTAGGTGTGCAATGAAAATGTGTTGAACAAGATGTCACAACCAGCCTGGGGAGGCGTTCTTATTCCCATGTAACGGATGAGGAAGCTGGGGTCCAGTGAGGCCAGTGGCTTACTCAGGATCACACAGGTACCTGGTGATGGAGCCGGGACCCACAGCCGGGTGCCGCTTACCCCAAGGCCCCACCTCACAGCCTGCGGTGTGCTGGAGAGCCGGTGCGGTGCCCCCACCTGACCATGAAGGCACTGGCTCCCCTCCCTGGCTGTGGAAGGAGGGTGCTCTTCCTTCTTTTTTTTCTTTTTTTAAACCGGGCACCAGGAAGATCGTGATGCTACAGAGAAGTCGATGCCCACGAAATCTCCGGTGGCCTGCCTTCCTCTTTCCACCTCCTCCTGAACCGGCCTCCGCACCCAGCATGCCTCCAGTCGCTGCCCACAGCCTTTAGGGGCTCTAACCCGGCTCTCTACTACTCTGGGGAGGCGCCAGCCTGCAGCGCAGCTGAGGGTTCAGCCTTCACCTCGTCTGCCCCACTGTTTTGGCCCTGCACCTCAGCCACCTCCTAATAAAAGGGCTCCTAGCTTCCTCCACTGAGGGCCTCTAAGGACCCAGGCGCCCTGCCAGGCGTGGGGTGGGCAGTACCAGGCCTTCTACTGAGCCCACCACAGGGAACAGGCCATCAGGGCTGATGCTCTGGGGTCTGCCCAGCCCCCCTGACTCAATGCCCACTCTCAGGAGGTGCCTGAGGACTATGTCTTACTTTTATGTTGTCCTGTCCAGCGGGCTGTGGCCTTGTTGCCAGACAAACTGGGGGTCCACACCACCTCTGCATCTTACGGTCACAGTGGGCCCAAGGCAAGGTCCGCCCCACAGAGCCACAGGCCCACTGTGAAGGGGCCCCAACGAGGCCACAGTCTCCCCCGGCTTGGGAGGATTATGGGAGACCCCAAGTGCCTGCAGCAGGCTGAGCGCCCATGCCAGCAGCACCAGACCCCGGGGGTGAGGGAGGCAAGGCTGCGGGTTCTGGAGGGCGGCCCTGCACCTTCTGCTGCTCTCAGAGAGTGGCCCTTCTCCTCCCTGAGCTCCAGGTCCCTCGTGATGCAAATTCCCTCCCTGGGAAGATCTCCAGCAGGCAGTTTTCATCTTTTTATAACTTTGAGTCCTCACAACCGGTCCCACAAGGATGGAGCCACCTTTGTTCTCATTTTACAGATGAGAACACTGTGGCTTTATACAGCTAAAACAAGTGCAGAGACTTGCCCAAGCTTGCCCAGCAAGGAAGTCGCACGGCTGGATTTTGAACGCACCAGGTTTTCCCCACTTTACCATGTGCTTCTAAAACCCTTGCACTTCCCCCAGGGGAACTCGGCCCCAGAGAGGCCCCAGGGCTGCCCCCCCCCCGGTGATCTGCTCCCTGAGCAGCCACTTGCCATCCCTGCCACAGGTCCTGGCCCCCACTCCGGTGCCTTCTGCCCCAGCTCCTCCGGCAGGAACGCGTCTGCCGGTTCCTTCCTCTCCATTCACAAGTCAGAAACCACGGCGCCCTCCAAGGCTGGCCTGGGCCCCCATCCCCGCACTTCCCGCTCCTCCTCATGCACCACATGCAGAACCAGTGTGCTGCTCACCATCAGCTGGTTCCCTGTGCTTTCGTGAGAAGATGAGGAGACAGCGTGTGGCGGGCAGGACCAGCCCTCGAGTCACCTGCTTACCCTGCTACATATTGGCTGAGTCACCTTGGGAAAATCACTCTACCTCTCAGAGCCTCAGTTCTGCATCTGTGAAATGGGCACACCAACTTGTGTTGAAGGATTACATAAAATAAAGGAGCTAGAACACAGAGGCTGGCACAAAGTCGATGCCTGCCACCCCCCCAAAATAGGCCCCCAAGCAGTGGTCATACAGTCACACCCGTGTCCCCCTGCCCAGGCAGCTGCCCAGTACCACAGGGACTGTTGAGTCATGTTCCATCTGGAACCAGCTTCACCTCCCTAGCCCCTCGCCTTTTGGAGGCTGGTTCCACAGACAGCTCTGGGGCCACCTCAGCCGTGTGGCTGCCCCAGGTCCGCAGGCCTCCAGCAGACCCACGCAAGGGCCCTCCAGTCTCCCTGAGCCGGGCCGAGCAAGAGACCCCAGCCCAACCTGCTGGCCTCAGTCGCTGTCTCCAGCCGTGATGAGGGCACAGGACCTTCTGTGCCTTCCCTCGCAGGCAAGGGAAGAAGGTAGCTAGAGCCCAGTTACCTGCTAGTCCAGCTTCTCCCTCAGAAATCCATTCCAGGTGTCTGGGGCAATCCAGTGGGGTCCCAGGGATGGCAGCTCGGTGTAGGGTGGGGGATGAGGGTCTGAGAGAACAGGCAGGGGTCTGGGATGGGAGCCCACCGCCTGCCAGATGGGCAAATGGCCTGTCACCTGCACAGACAGAAGCTGGGCTCTGGGCAGGCAAGCCACACAATGGTCAGTCATACCCCAAAGGGGTCACACGTGGACAGAAGGTAGTCATTGTGAGTCAGGGACTGCTCAATCGGCTGCACCAGGATAGACAAACAGCAGGCAAGGGCTGGTCAGGCAGGCAGGCAGGCAGACAGGAGAAATCAAGCGAACAGTCAGGAGGCCAGCCAGACAAACACACACAGAGACCAACACACAGGCAGGCTGCCAATTACACTCAGGGAGAAGCAGGCAGACCTCGAACCCAAGCCCATCAATCCGGCAGCAGAGACACCAGTGGTCTCTCAGAGGCAGTGGTTGCCACCCCTGGCCCAGAGTGTGTGCAGGGTAGAGAGGAAGGAGGAGGAAGAGAAGGATGTGGTGAGAGCTCCCCACCGGCCCCGCCCACAGAGCAGCTGGCTCCTCCCCAGAGAGAGTGAGAAAAAAGTGGGAGGGAGCCCAGCCCCCAGACAGGGCACACTGCTGTCCAAAGGTCACCTGCTGGGAATACATTCCAGGCAACCAGGGTGACGTCTGCCTCAAGGTCATGACCCTTAAGGTAGGCAGGGCAGCCTGAGGTTACCAGGGTGACTAACATCTGCCTCAAGGTCATGACCCATAGGGCAGGCAGAGCAGCCTTGAGCCACCACTTCTCACAGATACGGACACTGAGGCTCAGAGTGGTGGTGCGGCGCCGCCATAACTGGACTGGGCGCCTGCTGGTCCTGCGAGTCCACCTCTCACCTCAGAGAGACTAAGGGCCCAGGTCCCATGGAGAGGCGGTGGCAGAGAACCCACCATGGCCCCTCCTCCAGAGTTTGCAGCCTCATCTGCTTCACTTAGGCACACGGCCTGCCTGGCCCAGTAGAGGCCTGAGTTTGAGACCCAGTCCCAGACTCCTCAGCCGTGTTTCCTGTGAATGCAGCCCCTGCTGCCAGGCTGCAGGGAGCAGGACTCTGTCTCCACGCTCTTGAGAAACCATCTTCAGGGCATGTCACAGCCCCTCTCTGAGTGCCTCCCTTTGCCCATCTGTTGAACGGGAACGCCTAGCCACGGGGGTGGGGGTGGGGGTGGGGGGCCGGGCAGCAGGGCGGCACAGCCATTATTAACACAGGGGAACTGAAGAGGAAAATAGAGAAAAGGATTCTAAAGAGATTTTTCGTCTTGCTGACAAACCAGAGGCCTATGGGAAGGTTGGCTGTTTCTGGTAGACCCTAAAGAAGCCAGGGAAAAAAGTGTAGCGAACTCACACCCAGCAGTCTAAAGAGGGATGAGAGAATGGCTGCCGCTGTTGCAACTGTTACTCTTTTACCTTTTGTAGGCGCCTAGGGGACCTTGTTTTATCCCACAAACCCTGTGAGGCAGATGCAATTGCTCCCACTTTGCGGGTGGAGAAGCCAAGGCTCAGCGGGCTGAAACACCACACAAACTAAGAAGGGTCACAGCTAGGGACTGAATTTTGCTGTACCTGATTCCTCAGCCTACAGCAGCCTGTGGAAATGGGCTGGAACAGGGACAAAAGGTCCCCAGGGTGGACAGGGGCTATTTTGTGCTATTTGATGACGCAGGTCAGCTTGAACTTGTATGCCATCTCTTTCCCTACTGACTCATTTTGGGGAAATGCTTCGCAGCAAACCCACATGACCGCTCCAAAGAAAAAGAGAAAGCATCTTGTAATTTATTTCTTCCATTTTTTTCTTTCTCTACATGTTCTTGAGGAACTTGGTACAAATTCCCCTGTGACTGATTTGAAGGGATGTTTGCCCTATAGAAGTTCTCTTCTCTGCTACCGAAATCTCACATACTCCACAGAAAACAAATCTGGGAAAAAAAGCCAGCTTTTTAAAAAATTTCTCTTGACCTTAGAGTGAGTTTTCTGATACCATGGATCAGATATTTGTGGTGATGGAAAGATCCAGAGAAGGAGTAGTAAAACAAAGCCAACATTTGCTGAAAGCTTACTCTGTGCCAAGGACTTTAAGGGCACATCATCTCACTGATAATAACTCGAGAAAATAATTATTATTGCCTTCGTCATCATCATTATTTCTATTTTACAGTTAAGGAAACCAGGCTCAGAGAAGTGAAGAGACTTGTCCAAGGTCGCTCAGCTAGTGAGTGGCAGAATAGGGACTGAACTCAGCCATTTGGGTTTCTGAGCCTGTGTTCTTGATCGCTCACTACTCTGCTTCTGGATATACGTCAGCCCAAGGATATTCAATAACTCCTCCCTTCCACTTGCCTCCCTCCCTCCCACTGTCTTCATCCCTTCCCTTCTCTCTACCGACCCACTGATCTACTCTTCTACATGCCCACCTGCCCAACCATCTCTTCTCTCTTCTCACCAAGCAGGCCCTCGAGAGTGCGCTGGGGACGCCTCACAGACATGCGTATAAGTGACAGCCTCTTAGATCCTGTACCCTAGTGGGAAGCAGAAAACACAAAGGCGTGATGGACAGACCAAACAAGGTACCATAGAAACTAAACCAATTGTCACAGAAAACCAACAAGAGGTCGAGGCAGAGACATCCCAGGGCACACTGGGTGGCGAGAAGAACCCAGCCACAGGGGAGATCTCAGGCAGAAGGAACTGCAGAGTTTTGACCTGAGCACTCTTGTAAATGTAAATTGGATCAAGGCCTTCCTCTCTGAAACCAAATCTACCTCCCTTGCATTGTCCTGCAAGGTCCCGTGCGGTGGGTGGGACGTGTGACTTCTGTGACCCCAGCCCCTAGCATTCCTGTGCTGGCTCACTCTGGCCTGCCATGGCGTTCGCAGGTGCCTGGAGCAGCTGTGTTGCCACGAGCTCAGGGCCTCTTGCTTGCGTTTAAAAAGTAGATGCTTTTGAAAGGTGACATTTAACAGCTGCCATGTCTAGTGGGGTGAACATGGGTCCCCTCGGAAATAGATCTGTGTTGAGGGAAGGGTCCCTTGAGGGGTCCCTTCAGGTCTGTGTATGTTTCATGAGCGTTGTCCCCAAGATCTCAGAAGGAAAACGTGATCGGATCTCTCAACACCCTCCCAACACCCCCTAGCATTTAGAGCCGGTCACTGGAGAGGAAGTAGTTAAATGTGCATGTCACCCAAGAGGTCGGGGGGAGGGGGAAATAATTTAGACACCCCTCCTTCAACCCATTTCCTCTTTTTTATTTTAACAGTTTTATTGAGGTATAATTGACATAGCATAAAATTTTAATGACTTTTAGACAGTTCAAAGATTTTTAGTAAGTGACTGATTTGTGCCATCACCACCACGGTAGAATTGGAGAACATTCCCAAAAAGACCTTCCTATATGATGCAGAAGGCTTTACAAAGCTCACCCCACTGCTGAGGTGGAAGGATTTCTCTTTTCTTGGACACATCCACCCGTCCCCGTTTTTTCCTTGAGCCCAGCCCACTCTTCCATTTCAGTCCATCTGTCACTTCACCGATACTGGACAGCTTTATTCCCAGGCCCCCAAAATTATCCACAGCCCCAGATGGGGCGGAAATGAAATGGCCCAAAGAGCAAAGGAGTATTTCAAATCCTCTGACCCTCGGCTCCAGGAGGCAGTGTTTGCCGATGGAAAGCTCCGGGAAGAACGCGTCCCAACAGGTAGCCAGCCAGATTGCTCTGTCCGCAGGGGTGTCTGCACACGTGGCCGCCTCTTGGAAGCCACTTGGAGTGTCTTCACGGAGACGATTTGCTCACACAGCAGCTTCGGAGGCCCATCTCCAGGGCAAACCCGAGCCGGCTGGCAGTGGCCTGGCCTCCAGCCCCTGCCTACAGTTGCGCCCTCTTGGTCTCCTTCAGTGTGCTGCTTAGTGGGAAGAAATGAAGTCACAAAAATCATGACGCAGTATTTTTCCAGGGAAAGTAAGACATCATAAATGCGCACACCATTATTCTTTGTCTCTAAAATCTCTTTTAAATTTTAAGATTAAACCCTTCTTTGCCTTTTCCAACCCCTGACCAAAAGGAGCCCCTTCCCCCAACCGCCAGTTTGCAGTCAGTCTCGTTCCCCCTCCCAGCCCCACTGATCACCTCTCTGAACTGATTTTCATTTTTCTTTGCTGGCTTTTCATATAAATCAAGTCATCTAACACGTGGTCTATTGTGTCTGGGTTTGTTTGTTTTTTATTTCATATGTGTGTGAGGTTCCTCCATGCTGTGGCACGTACTTCATTCGTGGTGTGTTGTGTTTTATTTATAATGTGGAACGCTCCACAATCCGCGTCCTCCCTGCGCACGGCCACACTAATCTTCTCTGCACGTTGCAGCGTTACGTGCGCGCCGCCGCAGCGAGCGCGCGCCTCCTTCGTCCTCACAGGCGAACAGCTTCCGCCGCGTGACTGTGCCGCGTTTGCCTCGCCCGTTCCTCAGCCTCGGAAGGTAGGCCGCGTTCCCGTCTTTGTGGCGAGTGGCAGAGCTGTGAACCCTGCCAGGCCAGTTTGGGCACACGTGCGTTTTCAGATCTCGTGGGCGCGTCCCCGGGAGGGGACGGCTGAGTCACACAGTCGTTCGGTGGGTGACTTGCTGAGGAGCGGACGAACTCTCCCACGGCAGCCGCGCCATCTCCCTTCCGCCGGCAGTCTGCGCGAGTTCCCGTGGCTCCACAGCCGTCGCCTCGCTGGTTTATGTTTTGTTAGAGCCGTTCTGGTGCGCGTGAGGCGGTGTCTTGTTGTTGGGTTTGTTTGTTTTGGTTTCTTTCTTTTTTTCGCTTTTTGCATTTTCCTAATGCTTAATGATGTGGAATGAACTTTTTGTGCTTGGTAGTCATTAGCGTATCTTCTTGGGAGAAACGTTCATTCACATCCGTTGCCAGTTTTTAAATTGAGCTGTGCTATAGACTGACCCCCAGTGTGACGGTATTAGAAGATGGGGTCTCTCGCAGGTGGTTCATGGGGTG